CAACCACTACGACTATGCAGCTAGCAATGGCTTATTGGCATCTTCATCTGTAAAGATGAGCTGCCTAATAACTTCACAACCGCATATATATTTTGGCAAAATTAGAAACAGACACAAAATCTACAAAGAGAACAACCGCATATTCAAAACGAATTAGAAACGAATGAACGTAACACGCCTATTACATTCGTACTAAACTGGGAGTAGCCTCAACTTAACCTGCAAATCAAGTGCATACTTTAAAATACAACGAAACCATTACAATCTCTTACTGCATCAACTGTATGCGCGATTTTATTTGTGGGCTACAACCGATGCTGACTTTCAGTCAAATCTCAGGTGAATCAGAGAAATATGTAGCTTCTTAACAACATGTACAGCAGAATGGTCAATTATTTTTTATTCTTTGGCATGACAACACTACAGCATTACACCCTCTACATGGCGCCAAAGCCAACCACTTCCCCCGTTCTTCCTCAAAAACATTTTCGTGAATTAATTGCTTAATGAAGTTCGCACCTTTGACATTTGTGTTGCAAGGATACGATTATATCTGTTATGTCAACGAGCGTAACTGGAACCGAAAATTTATGATATGCTTAAATATATGCGGCATTAAAATTGGAAGCAGAAGATCATGCCCTCTGTTTACAAACTTCGGAGCTTTAGCTTTGGAAAATGAGTGATAAGAATGAGTTTTGTTATTCTCCCTTGAATTTTTGATTAGATTTGTGTCGCTTTGGCACGGTGCCTAAGAAGCAGGCATTGGAATTACGGCGGAACTGAGTTCGATTCCGACGGAGGACAATCTTCACATTGATCTTGAACAGCGTTGAGCAGGAAACTTACCGCATACTTCATATCAGGATTCCTCTCGTCGATAAGGCATCGGACTCAAAAGCAGTGTCGAAATGTCTCTAATTCCGGCCACGATCTGGGTCACTTGCTTATATTCATTCCAAGGATGATAAATGAGTGCCACTCCATTGGAAGGAAACAAGGGACTACACATTATTCTAGCCGTATAGCTAACGTCCATTATACATCTAAAAAATTAGACACTCGTTGTTGATAGAGCGAAAGTCCAAGTCAGCGCCCGACATTTCGCGTTAGGAGAAGAACGGCGTCACCAGAGTTCCATCATGAAAGTTTGAGGGAAATCTGCATTCCAGCGGTTATGAACGTTTCTATTTTTCAATTCTATTGAAGTCAGATCTGTATTATGGCAAAATTTTTGTAGCTCTTGACTGTGTAGTCCAAAATAAGTGATAACTGTATACCTGAGTAATTGATCCTCTCGAAAATTCTTTGATAATTTCTGCTTGGTCGCTGCAAAAAATTATGTTATTGTGCCACAAGGTCACCTTGCCATATATTTCCTTTCTTCTGGGTAACCCACTCAAGTTTCAAACTAACCATTTCGACTAAGCATAAAACTTTACCGTTATTCATGTACGTTTGAATATCCTAAAGATACGTCTTGGATGTTTCTAGCAGATCAGTTACCGAACTAAGGAATGGCATCATTATATGAACTGCTGAATACAAAATGGTCGCCAATTTTAGACTCAATCAATTTTACATGTCGAATTTAAAATGTTGTATGTACGAAAGAACTTCATAGCAGATTATGTCAAATTTTACTTAAGTATGCTTCACAAAAGAAAAAAATACATATGGCTGATCCCCGCTCATACAGTATAAATTCAACAAACACTGAACTGTGAAACATAACGCAGAGATATTCTATGTCTATTTATGGTAATTGTATGGCCAGAACCAAGATTCCATCCGTGCTAATTTCTTCATTCGTGTAAATGGCGTAGTTCCTTTAACCGTTGACGGAATCGTTACTGCAAATATAATCAGATTTATGGATTTTCTGTATGAAGATTGTAATGCATTATTAAACCAACGTTTAGCTGCGAAGCTTTGCTGATGATACATGGTCTCAGTCAGAAAGTATGTTCAAATGAATGTACTACAAAACTGTTACGCACTCGACGAATTGCTTTGAAATACAAAAGATAAAATTGAGACAATTCATCATATCAGTTAACTTATGCTGCGCAGCAAGGCACATTTACTAAGAGGTGTTCCGGTAGTACTCTGCTAAAGATAGGCATCTTCATCAACTTGTTTAAGCGGTAAAACGTGCCTACTTACATATTTAGTTGCTTGTTTGATTATTTTGATTGGTGTATGTACCATTACGGTAAACAGTAATAGTTAATATATCATATAGGAAAGCAGGTCAAAACTATTTATTTCAAACTATTTATTCATACATAGGAAGATGTTCAATGTGTTCTGTGTGTCTCATCGCCAATTACTCTCAACGGCATGAGAGTAACTCTTAATCCAATGATGACTGCTGGACAGCATTAGGAATCGTGATTTTGTCATGATACAATGGAGATACACCGAAGCTACTGCAGAACTGCTTCGAGCGTTTTTATGCCATAACTCGCGAATTTTCGATTTTCTGACCCATGGTCTGCTTATTTTTTACTGCTGTTTAGGAGGCCATTGTTCAGTGATGCTCTGCAGTTCTATATGCATCGTGTATTAGTTTTCGGACTGGAGCAATATCTTGAATCGTTTTAAATTAGCGATTTCATCTAGAACTGCAGCTGTCGAAATCACTTACTGACGATGTCTGCGCAAAATTTCGCTAAGGCAAGTGGAAATAATGCTCAATGAAATAAATGGTAAAATTTAAATCAAAATAAAAGGGCTACCACTTCAGTAGTTGTTCTGAAAAGGAAAGTTCAGACGAACAACGGATATGAGAATAAAACAGTTTTATGACAGCAATATAGCAAAGTCTTTTATAATACTTACCATCACGGGAATAAACCTTATAGGAAAATGACAGTCTGAATATAAAATGTTAGCTTGTAAACCTGAAGCATTCAAACGTTACTTGATAACATTGCTTTTTGCCCTCATATGATTGATGCTTATTTCACCTTTCAGATCCGACGGTCCGAAGCCTATGACAATACGATCAATTTGCAGCCGTTCTCCATCGTACCAGTTCACGTCATAAACATCGACTGTCATTAGGAAGCCCTACTATCGTCAGTTAATAAACGAAAGAAACGTCATTAAAAATCGTACATACCTCATACGGTTGATCATAGGTGAAGGTCATTGGATTCCACCACTGACTGTACCATTGTCCGACAGAGAAAGTGATGTTATTTTTGCAGCTTGTCAACTTGCCAAGAGTAGTGCGAAATGCATAGTCGACGCCTTTGCTGAAATAAATAAAATGCAATGCGTAAACAGACTATGCTTTGAGCAGTTGTACTTACGGCTTAAGTTCGATGTCCAAATGAAGGTCACATGCAATGGGTAATCCCCAGAATATTTTGTGACACGCCTTACCATTTGCTAATGTTCCGTTTACGTTGTCGAGGTATTTAAGCAGGATAGAGACAGAGGTTTCTTCGGTACCAGTTGACGTGGTAGTTCGAGTAGCAGTGCCGTACCTCGGACTTGTGATCTACAGCACAAATTATTAATGTGAAAATCTAGAAAGTCATTATATTTTGTCAAATATACTTGTCTAAATTGCTTTGCAAGGAAAATAAAAAATAATATATCATTGACCGTGTTTACGGTTTGATATTGCTCATATTAGTCTGCTGGTAGGTGAGTCACGATGCTCTGAAGTTGCATATAACACTGGATAAAAGGTCAAAACGATTAGCCCATTTAAAGCACATGTATCAGAGAGAATAATATAGCGTGTTCCACGCTAAAGTACGAATGCACTAAAGCGTCGTACGTCGTTTGTTTTGTACGTAGGAAAACAATTTGCTACGTGTATTTCAGATTGTTGTTCAGAGGCATAGCGAGAGAATTAATTGCTCAAAGAAATCACAGTTGATGAGAAAGTGTTGCGCTCCTTTTGGATTCGAGCCCCACATTTCTGGAGTGCATTTTGGAACGACATCGCTCTGCGCATCCGCCTTGCCAGTTAGTAGTTAGTACGCTCATTAATTATGATCAGAAACCACTGCCACTCAAGCAATGGCGGTATTTCATTGTCAATGTTATCAAACAGAGGTGGGGGGACAGGCGCAACTTGTTATGCTTAATGGTTAGGGTTTGCCAATTCACTCTGACCGTTACAACAGAGCAAGTCAACTGACAGTCAGCAAGAAAGAAAGATAGGAACTTTGTAAAAAATATGGCAAACTGAACGCCAAGACAACAACGATAAGCCAAATGTGGTCACGTAAAATTTGAATCTACAGAAGCCAAGAGGACTGAAATTGTAAA